CCAGCTCGAGTTCCTCTTCTCGGGTCTTGATCTTCTTCGACATCAGCTTGCGTAAGAGATTATACTCGAAGTTAGTATAGGAATTGAATATCTTCGAGAGATCTTGCAGCGAGGAAACGCTCATGAGGCCTTCTTCGTAGATCTCGCGCGCACGGTCGACGAAGTTCAAACCGATGTAGTGGGCGGCGAGGGAGCACCAAAGATCTCCTTCCTGCTCCGGGAGTTGATCCTGCTCGTTCTTGAAGAGCGCCTCGAGCCTCAAGTCCTGCTGCTTCCGCCTTTCTTCGAGCTGCTGGCACAACTCCCACCATGAGGTCTGCTTCGGTTCCTTTTCAGCCGAAGCTAGACCGGCTCTCACCATGTCGGCTACCTTACGCGCGGCTTCGGCTGATCCGCCGAGCGGAACCTGATCTTCGCCCATTAGCTCCTGCGGCTCAACATTGTACTCCAGGGCACGTGGGTGGGCGTTGAGGCCGATGTCGGGAATCTTGCGACTTGCGATGAGTTTCCCAGCACCAGACCATAACTGATCGTGGGGGATCAGGGGGGAAGAGCGTCGATCGAAAGTGAGACGAAGTCGGGGCGAAAGCCGGTGGCCATGGAGGAGCTCGCAATACATGAACCAAACCTCGGGCAATTTCAGCAGCCCAAGGAGAGCACGCTCGAAAGGACCGTTGACATTTTCGAGCTGCCGGCGCTCGGAGCCCAGAGGCCGATTATAGAACAGCTCAATGCCTCCCTGAACATAGTAATTCCAGAGCCTGAACGATCCGGGGAGTTGTGTCAGAGCGTGGTCGAAGATGATTTTCAGCAGAGCTCTGGTGAAGTTCTTCTTGTTGTGGATTTCGGCGAAGCTGAGCCAATCGCGCACTTGATCTATATATTTCGATAGCCCCGTCTTGTAGGCTTGCTTGGATGAAAGACTCCGGCAAATCCGACGCACTGCCTGCTCCATCGCTACCTCGTGTGCTTTCGCAAGAGCCATAACGTCGAGTTCCGATTAGGCTCGGATGAATCGATAGCAATCACCCGTTTCGGTCGAATCAACTCCTGCACTGAAGCACTGCCGGGATGCACCTTCCTCCGTCTGGCCGAGAGCACTATCTGAGCGACGACGACTCAATCGACTTCACGATTTCAGAGTTAACGTTAGAAGGAGTCCTTAGAGCGAGGTTTGAGATTTGAAGAGCACGAGTAGGATGGATGGGTAGACAGTGACTTTTCAGGTAGATTGCACCTCCTTAAATATGAATCTGGTTGGACTTGAGGGTGATTGGAAAGGAGCGCTCGTTCGTCTACGCAATCTCTCACCCCCCTCCCTCCGATACGGGCTGACCCTATCATAGGACCTGAAATCGGCGAGTCGAGGTCGTTCTCTAAGTAAGGCGTGAAAGATAAGTGTAGATCAAGAAAATGGACCCTTCGATGAGTCGACGCAGCGTCCGCCGCCTCTTAATACGTATCGGAATTTGGCGATGCGGACCCCATTAGATCACCCGTGCAGCTCATGAGCGTGTATTTTCGGGATAACAGGTATCGAAATAGAGGGACCGCCACCTCGAGCACCGGCCGTGGAAGCTAGTCGGAGGCATCAAGAATAGGGCAGCAGCATCCCCGCACCTGAATGTAAGACGGAATAGTTTAAGGGGCTCGGAAAACGGGAAGTTTCCGCGCCGAGATCCGTGATCTCTACCTTCTGACATAGGTCAGCTGCCACGACGTGCAAATTCCGGCTGCAAGGGATTTCGTATCGCTCGGAATCCTCATATGGGAATCATGTTCTCTCCCCGATCTGAGATCCCGATGTGAGAATTTTCTCCGTGAAGTGTTTCCCAGGGTTCGCGGCGTGGAGTGCTCACGGCGCTTCTTCCTCCCCGAGGAGACTCCTAATGCAGTGTTTCCCAAACTGGGTTCCGCTGAACTCTTGGGGTTCCGCGGCGGATTGCGCGGAACCCCAGAGTCTACCAGCGGAACCCCTACGGAACCCCGTCAGAACCCTCAGGGGTTCCGTGGAAGAAAAAGTTTGGGAACCACTGTCCTAATGAACAGCGATGTGACGAAACATCGCTATTCTGTATGTCACCACTCTAACGACATAATCAAATGGATATGTATGCTGTAATGAATAAATTAAATGAGCTCGCTTAGTGGCTAAGCTCAAACTTTATTGGCGTTCGGAATCGCGGATCGATCACGCCGAAAGACAAAGTGGAGATCGCTACAGATCAAAGCCAAAGAACTTTGAGAACAGTCAATCAATCCTGTCGTCGGATCGTCGTCAGCGTCGGAATTCGAGTCGAAGAAATCATCACACATTTCTGAGGGGGATCTTTTTGTCTGTAATTAGACTCTTAGACCTCTAAGACGCGTCCGTACACTCGGGGTAGCGAGCTGCACTCAAAGACACCGACTGCGACCGTCGGGGTTCCCTCTATATGCGGCAACGAAAATATGATTGAAGAATAAAATATGATGTCAGGGTGACCCGAAAATGAGCACTCGGTTTGATTGAAACACGCGACAGATGCCACGGGACGAGGAGAATCTTGGCGAGTATTCTCAGGGTGACTGTAGGGGGGATAGTCCAGAACTCCCAGAGGGGATCCCGGACCCTGTTCTCGGGGGTCCCGAAGGTCGGTGGAGACAGGTTATCTCGTGATCCGATGGAGAATCACTGGATCGATACCGCTTGCGGAAATATCGTCTAGCCATACTGCGCCAGAAATCTGAATTTCTTTATATATGCACTTGCACTGAGAGAGCTCATTCGATGAAGAACGGAAAAATATTCTTCGTCCGGCTAAGCTACCGACTTTTACTTTCGGAATAACATCGCGAGGAACTCCCAAGCATTGTCGAGGACTTTGGAGAGGGTCCCACGCGACAAAGAAACAGGGAACCGCTGGTTCAGACGGATCACATCCTTCGAGATCAGTGGAGCCCTTCAAACCCACACCGCGGGAATCCGACCTGGCATAACCGATCTTCGCAGGCGTCCCACAGTGGTCAAAAATCGATTTTTGGGTGGACAAAATTATTTGAACGCTTTTTTCGACTGACTCGGATCATTTGAGTTCGGAAATGAGTCCGAGAGAGTTTCTGGTCGTCATCTTGGCCCTAGAAACGAAGTTCGAGGCCCAACGGGGTCAATAATGAGACACTCTTCGAATTAAACGAGCTACATTATATTTCTTTGAACTTGCTTATCGAGAGCATTCCACTAGTCTAGACAACACTACGGGTCGCATCCCTCATGGGTCTCCCACTCCTCAGCGCTGAGATGGAGGACGCTGAGGATGGTCGATCTGACAGAGCTTTCACCGTTTTGGAGCCCTGTCGATTACCGGAAAATTGTAAGGAGAGATGGCCCGCGTACAATACTTCTCCTGGGCCGTGCTGTAGTAGAGGTTGAACTCTACGTGTCTTCGACTTCACGGATGAATCGCAGAAATTTTTCTCCGGTCGACCAGCCCCTCGCATGGATGTTGATGCCGATGTTGATGCCGATGTAGATGGCTTAGCTTGTACTCTCAGCTTGACGCTGAATCGGAAGGGCTTTTTTGGAACCAGATCGCGCAATGGTGGTAGAATTTTTCCTTCTTCCGCTGACACTTCTAAAACTTTTCCATCGATCGATTGATCTGTCGGCTAAGTTGGGCTCTGAAGTCGTGTAAATCGTCTACCTTGTGTTATCTCTCAGCTTCGATAATGCGCAATCAATCCCTTTAGTGTTCATTGGAAGAAGCCGCGAGGCAGCCAGGGGTAGTTTAGCGCGGCACGCGGCGATTTTGAGAGCGGCTCCCACTGTCGCCAATCGTGCTGGATGCTGCCCGATCTCAATATCCGACCACAGATGTCCTCAATCAGAGGAGCGTCTCCGATGAACGACTCAGAGTGATGCTCTCTGAAGGAATAAATATCCACGGGTACGATGATCTCAATACAGAATCTGGGGATCACGATTCGAGCGATATCTCGCCCATTTACGGCTTTCCCGGGGTTTTCCGGAAAATAAGGCCCTTAGCGCAAAAAAGCGCAAAAATCGGTTACCACCTCGTGAGAGCTGAGGTTTTTACGAGCAATTTAAAAAAAATCAGACTGGGTACATTTGGGTACAGTCTCCAAATGCGGCCCTGAAGGTTTTGGCCATTTTTCGAAAGCCAGAGAGAAATCCATGGTTCGTATTAAGTCAAAACGCTTCCGTTCTCATTGCCCCACATGGATCCATACCTATCAAGACCTTCTCCCCACTCTTTAAGGTCAATTTTTTGCCTTGAACATTGAAAATCGAAAAAATAACTTTGTCCACCTAAAAATCAATTTTTGACCACTGTGGCGTCCCGGCAGTGTGTGTTCCAGGGTCAGGACTCGTGGGGATCGAGTTGCGTGGAGGAGAATCGCTTCCCGAGGGCAACCCAAATCCGCCGACCCGTGGCGAGTATGTCCGCGGCCTTCGAGAACAGATCACCTACGATGAGTCCGAATGAAATACGCTGTAGGAGTCTAAGGAGTGGCTGCTGATATAATGGGTCGATGAGCCGAACGCCATGTCCCCTTGTCTGACACTCAGGCTGAATCGACCCGAAGCTACGATGCCACGCTGGGGGAAGTTTCCTCGAACCGTCTCCTGACGGAACTCCTTGTGAATACTCTTGGATTCATATTCGAGAGTATAGTTCGCCCCTATTACCTTCTTCGAGCAGACTTCATCTGCTAATTTTCGCATGGGCCGCAGACAACGTTTCAGGTTTGAGACCCCGAAAAACACGGAGACTGATCGTTCACGACAAATGAAGTCATTAACGCAGTCCACTCGCTCTCGGTGCCTCGCTACAACGATTCTTTCGCAGCAGTGCGTCAATACTCGTCGCTGCTCCTTTTGTTGCGCGCATGCTGCGGTGCTACAGCGGGGCGCCCAGCATCGAGGCGCGATGTCTCTCGGTAATCAGATGAAAAGTCGACAGTCCGCGATATCTGAGGACCTGAGAAGTACATACACACTGGTGGACAACTGATGAGCCGACGAATCGTCGGTTGGCTGACGCACCTCGTCCCGCCTTCAATAAAATGTGTTTTCCGCTCTCAGACAATTTTTCGGGAAAATCCCCTCCCGCTGCCATAGTACCAGGTTACCCTGTCGCCGACTGATTCGCGGGATCGCCGCCATAAGAATGCAACAGCAGTCTGGCTTCGTACAGGGCAGCACAAGCTTGGCTGACGGTGCGAGACATTGAGGGATAGATCCCTAGATCAGAATTGTGGACTGTCGGATGCTCACGAGCGAAAACGCCCATCGGACTAATATCATCCACAATGAGCCCCAAACGGGCATCGATTGTGAGTATTGAACGGCATAAGGTCTCGGGAAAGACTGCTGGCTCTCATGTATCTGCATGATTGCGCCCCATTGCCAAGTTTGACGAGGATACCTCTGCGTGGGCTGAGCTTCCAGTGCACCTGACAGCTCTGAGCGAGTTTGGCACCTCGTGTCAATTCAATGAATCGCGATTTGACGCCGCCGTCAAACCTTCTCTGCAACTCTGAGGGCGGTTGGAGCTGTCCCAGGGTCCCGGGGATTGGTGTGGTAGCTCAGGTCCTTTGAACTCTATTGCTATAAGTTGAGTATCATCTCCGGGATTTCGTTTCGATTTGAGCACGGCTACTCCTGTTTTTCCGGAGGGGGCCTGGTGCTGCATATCGCCTCCCCTATTCCTTTCTTCCCTACGGCGGAAGTTCGACTGCCTTCACAGTGCCTTCGAAAACACAGAATCTCAATGTGTTCCATGGAAGAAGAGAAAACTCTGAGCAGGCTGCGCGAAGTTCAGCCGAACCTAGGTCCCTACATATGTGCAAAGGTACCCAAGAAGACTGGACAATCATCACAAACTTCGAGTTGCGTTCCCCTATTATCGGAAGCTTCCACTCCGAGTTGCGTCCCCCTATTATCGGAAGCTTCCACTCCGATTTGAGATACTAATGCAGCGCTGTGATGCTACGAACATCGGGGCCCTCAATCGCACCGATGAGCACAACACAGGATTGTTCCCGTTGATCAAGATGCGCTCACAAAATGATGATTTTTCCTGTGGTTCACGTCCGGCTCAAAGACCACCCGCTCGGCAGGAACTCATGTTCGAGCCTATCCCTGGAAACGGTCAGCGTTCCCTTTCACGGTGATGCCTGAGTTGTCTCCTTCTCCGTCAGCCGAAAGGCGAACCGATAAGGAATTCCCTGCCGTCTAGACGACAATCGGGAACTGTGACAATTCTTGTATGTCTCTCCCGAATTCAGAAATGAGTTGCTTAGATTATATGTCTTTATTCTTAAAGGAAGGGTGGAAGAAGAAGGTTCTTTACAATCTCCTCAGCTCTGCTGCAAACGCCCTTGGTGCGTTGTCTGAGCCCGTACGAGTCTTCGAGCTCGCGACGCAGCGCGAGAACCTCTTCGTACCACTCTGGTGGACATTCCGCAAAGCACATTGCGAAGAGTTCTTGTACCAGATCCCTTCTCTTCCTACCGTAGAGCTGCATGAACCTCGTCAGATACATGCTCCAGATGTCGAAGGCTTCCGGCCACTCGCTCATTCCGATGCTACCTTCATAAAATCGGAAGGCAGCATCGAACTCAGAGCGCCTCTCGAAAAAGAGCGCGACGTTGAGGAGCATCTGCGCATCCACGAGTCCTAGACGGAACATGGTCCCATAAGCCAGTGGTTCCCAAACTTTTTCTTCCACGGAACCCCTAGGGTTCCGCGGGGGTTCCGTAGGGGTTCCGCAGGTAGACTTTAGGGTTCCGCGGAACCCCGTTTGGTCACCTCTGCCATAGGCATATTCGACGTCCTCTGACGTACCGAAGCCCCCTTCGAGGGCCGTGTAAGTCTTCAACAACTTCCTTTTCTTGCAAAGCTCAACTGTCGATTCATCACGCACATTTCCGGGGTCTGCGTCATCCGTCGAGATGTCTAACGCCCTGCGACAGACAGCGATAGCTAAACCCGGTTCGTCGTTACGCAGCTCCATTTTGGCGTACTCACACCACACTTCCACAAGCTCATCGATGCTAGAGTAACTAGCCCGCGGAGCTCTCTTGAAAACGACCCTGGCATCATCGATTTGCCCCCTCGACTCGTAGTATTGAGCGAAAGCGATCCAAATCTGGGACACTTGTCCTTCGCAGGCCCACCGCGGATCGATCGTGTGCACTGCTTCGGAGAAGATTCTCACGACTTCGACGGGATCGCCCTCGTTGCACGCGCTGAAGCCACTCGTAGACGCTTTGGGGATCGTGACGCAGAATCATCGTGCTCACGAGCAGCTGTCTTCGACCCACGAGAGATTCGTATCGGGTCCATCCGAGCTCGAGCTCGAGTTCCTCTTCTCGGGTCTTGATCTTTTTCGACATCAGCTTGCGTAAGAGATTATACTCGGAGCCAGTATAGGTGTTGAATATCCGCAAGAGATCTTGCAGCGAGAAAACGCTCATGAGGCCTTCTTCGTAGATCTCGCGCGCACGGTCGACGAAGTTCAGACGGATTAAGTGGGTGGCGAGGGAGCACCAAAGATCTCCTTCCTGCTCCGGGAGTTCATCCTGCTCGTTCTTGAAGAATGCCTCGAGCCTCAAGTCCTGCTGCTTCCGCCTTTCTTCGAGCTGCTGGCACAAATCCCACCATGAGGGCTGCTTCGGTTCCTTTTCAGCCGAGGCTAGACCGGCTCTCACCATGTCGGCTACCTTACGCGCGGCTTCGGCTGATCCGCCGAGCAGCTCAGCCGGCGGTATGGCGCCTGCTCGACGATCACCATCGACCCCCAGACGAGTTTGCAGAGCCGATTCACCTGGCCGACACTATACTCCGCAAGAACGGGATAGTGCCAAAATGAGAGAAATGAGCCATCAATTTCGAACAGCCGGATCGTCGTGCAACAGAATCCCAGGGAAATCATTCAACTTATCAAGAACCAAATTCAACTGCCGTCGAAGCATAACCCACCTCGGCTTCGAACAGGCCCCGGGGCGAGCGCGGATAGGGCGTCGCTGGCCGCTTGGGCGCACGATTCTTCTTCGCGGTGCCATCGCTCTGGGCGGTCGGGGGAGCCATTGTTGAGTTTCTGCGCGACGTACGTCCCAAGACTGATTGGGAGCAAGTGAAACGCAGAGCGCGCAGACATCGAGAACAACCGGCCACCAGTGGGCGTGGCGGAATTTGGAGTGATGCGCGGGAATGTTTCCAGAATTGTCAGACCCCACTCTGACAATTCGGCGCGTGACTGTCACGAACAGGACCAGGTCCGTTGCGTCATCACCATTTATTTATTTGTCTAGCAATACTAATCCGTTCACACCATACCTCATTTCACACTCCCAGAGAGAGTCCAATAGTCATCGAGGGCTAATCTAACCATATACTCAAATCAAGGGATTGCTCCTCCATCTCCCCTTGGCATACTTGATAACCAATATTCATTATGTTATTATTATTCCCTGAGTCGGATAATCTCATTAAGAGATGAATAAATAAGGCCCAGAGCCGGTAGCACGTTTGGGGATTCGCGCCGTCAGCAGCGGCGCGTATCAGTAGCCAACTCTTCTCGGAACAGCTCTCTGGCCACGGACGGCGCGACAGTCTCTCTAACAGCTGACTGTCAGCAGAGCTGTCAGTGGCTGGAACTGTGACGTCAGACGTCAGTAGCAACCTCGATATCGGTAGCGCCCTGATCACGCTCAGCGCTCTCGATATTTCTCAGGACTCAGGATTCAAATCCCTGATCCGGTTCGCGAAAGGATAGGTCTGGGTCACGCCCCGCTATCCAGTTCAAGTTCCCTCCAAGTGCGTGCCGACTCAGAGTCTTTCTAGTTATTCATCAGTCTTCTCATCGGGAAGCACTACAGTCAGTGCCACACTGGACAATCATCACAAACTTCGAGTTGCGTCCCCCTATTATCGGAAGCTTCCGCTCCGATTTGAGATTCTAATGCAGCTCTGTGATACTACGAACATCGGGGCCCTTAATCGCACCGATAAGCACAACACAGGATTGTTCCTGTTGATCAAGATGTGCTCTCAAAATGATGATTTTTCCTGTGGTTCACGTCCGGCTCAAAGACCACCCGCTCGGCAGGAACTCATGTTCGAGCATATCCCGAGGAACGGTCAGCGTTCCCTATCACGGCAATGCCTGAATTGTCTCCTCCTTCGTGAGCCGAAAGGCGAACCGATGATGAATTCCCTGCCGTCTAGACTACAATCGGGAACTGTGACAATTCTTGTATGTCTCTCCCGAGTTCAGAAATGAGTTGGTTAGATTATATCTCTTTATTCTTAAAGGAAGGTTGGTAGAAAAGAGTTCTCCACGAATTCCTCAGCTCTGCTGCAAACGCCCTCGGTGCGTTGCCTGAGCCCGTATAAATTTTCGAGCTCGCGACGCAGCGCGAGAACCTCTTCGGTCCACTCTGGTGGACATTCCGCAAAGCACATTGCAAACAACTGTCGTACCAGATCCCTTCTCTTCCTACCGTGAAGCTGCATGAAGCTCGTCAGATACATGCTCCAGATGTCAAAGGCTTCCGGCCACTCGCTCATTCCGATGCTACCCTCATAAAATCGGAAGGCAGCATCAAACTCAGAGCGCCTCTCGAAAAAGAGCGCGACGTTGAGGAGCATCTGCGCATCCACGAGTCCCAGACGGAACATGGTCCCATACGCATACTCGACGTCCTCCGACGTACCGAAGCCCTCTTCGAGGGTCGTGTAGGTCTTCCACAGCTTCCTTTTCCTGCGAAGCTCAACTGTCGATTCATCACGCAC